CAAAAACGCCGTTCAATTTTGCGGAGGCGGATCCGCAGGAAGTTTGGAATTGGTTGTTGTCGCAGACACCTTCAAGGCAACATTCAACCACGCTTGTGCCTGTGACAGAGACTCTTGTGAATGTGGTTACTCCAAATTATCAGTTTGTCACAGAGGGTTTGGTGGAGCAAGTGACACCAGAACCTCTTCCACAGCTTTCAGTAAGTTCTTCGTTCTAAGCATGGATTTTTAGGAAGAAAAATAAGGAAACAGTTTTTGAACAAAACCTGTTTAATACTGTACATATTCTTTAATAAATACCCCTGGCATTAATTTAAAATACAAGTGGTACCTCACAATTCAGCATTCCACAATTTGACCATCCTGTAAGTTGATGGCTAAATTTGCTGGGTGGTCTACTCAAAATTTGACCTCTGCCTTTTAATTTGATTTGCACAGAGATGCAAAATGTTGAGTTTGATCTAACCCTTGGACAGCAGAGGGTTCTTTCCCATTACAGGACAGAGTCAGATTACAATATTTTTGCATCCTCCTGCATTTTCAGTTTTTCCAAGGTCAGGAACACCCTTCCAGGTGGGCTGAGGCAAAGTCTGGAGTCTTTGGACTAATGCAGGAAAAGCCTGTTGCTTAACTGAGCATTTTTTTCCAGCAAAATGTTTCTGTGCCCAGGGAAAAAAAAAAACACTGGGATTTTTCCCAACTTTGCCCTCAACCCCCTGTTGTCATTTTGTTCTCCACCTCTCTGAGGTGCAACAAAATTTCCCAAATATACTCCAACTTTTCTGCCCAAGGGCTAGAAAGCATTTGCTTTGACATTGTCTCACAATTCAACTGTGGTACCGCAACAGATTATGGTTATATTGCAGGCTGGACTTTCCTCCTGGTGTTTAACCCTTGGATGGTAGAGGGTTCCTTATTTCCATCACATGGTGGAGTTGGGATTTTTTCAAGGGGTGGTGCATTTCTGTTTGACATAAGGTCCCTGAAATGCTTCCAGGCCAGGAAGGCCAAAGTTGGGAAATATCAGTGAGGCAAATTTTATATTGCTTTGAGGAATTTCCAATTCTAATCCTATGCCAGGAAGGCAGGAAAAAATTCCACCCAGTGAAGGGTTTTTTTCATGCAACATTTTCTGCAAGATTAGAAAAAGTCTGATATTCTTATATCAGACTTTTTCCCTACTTAAGCCTTGGTACAAAGTAGGATTTTTTATTTTCCAGTGCTTATGATGGGCACAACATTTAAAAAATATCCCAATTTTTCGCACAAGGGTTTATGGAGACTAGCTCATATTAGTGACCAATAGTTATTTACAAAAGTTGATAACGCCGGGACAAGAGAAAATTAAAAAAAGAAAAACCGCAAGCAAAAAATACAATAAATTGACTAAAAAGACAGAATAATTTGCATGAATAGCTCAGTGGAGGTATATAAAGTAGTACTGCTTCATAGACCATCCCCAATCTGGTTTTCAAGATTTACAATTTCAGGATAATGTTGCAAAACTCAGGGCAACCCATGATTTTTTTACAGATAAATTTTTGAATGAATGAATGAATGAACAGAACACTTTATTTGCCGCTTTTGAGCGTTCACAAGATTCAATCAAGATTTCCACAACCAAACCCCCTTCCCACACAACCCAAATTCACTCAATGACATTTAATCACTCCAGAGCATGAAAGCACAAATTGATAACAAAAAAAGAAAATAAAATAAAATACAGTACATGAGTTACAATTGGACATCTGACATGTATGCATACACCCATTCATTCCTTGAATTTTTTGAATCCCCTGATTTGCTATATGCACCCGAAGTACAGGCTAAACCTATGGTATATTCCAAGTTCAGGCATCGGAAGACCTTTTTTTACAGGTGGATTACCAGCAAGACTTTGACGAAGACGGAAACAATGAACCCAGGCATTTCTTGGGCAACGATTTGGTAATCGCAACCACTGCGAAACCGTTGATCGAAGCGGATCTTCGAGACAACTTCCGGCCGTTCCTGAAGCCGCATCAGATAGAGAATCACAATGAAGAGCAGAACAATGAGAGGTTCCACAGCACCCGGA